ACGAGGTGTGCGATAGCCCGTACTTAGCAGCACGTAATTTTGCCCCCCGTCTTGGAGTCGCAAGCTTTATTTCTGACCCGGCACGTGACTAGTCTTGTAATAGTCAGCTTATTTGTTAGTCACACAATTGTTTTGTTATTATTCAGACAAGTATTTAAATTTGAAGTATCAGTACCGGTTTGTGTAGTAAAAACTTTATTGGAATCTGGAAACCGAAGCGACAGCATTGAAACATTTTGTTACTTTGGCGACGGACCGTAACTAGATCTTTCATCCGTTGTAGCTCTTTTATCAGATTACGTCTACAGTGCAGTTGACGACATGGACCCGGCAGGAGATGAGTGTTTGTTTGTTTGTCTTACTGAGAGTTTGGATGATGTGACTACACAGGACATTCTTAACGACAGGAGAGTTTCCGGATTGAATCTCCGGTTAGTACTGCGTGTTCCACGTGATAATTGCAGTATTTCAGAGAGCCACTGAATTTGCTTGTTCTAATTTTAATTGATACAGAGGTTCTGTTTTAAAGACGATAGAACTGAAATTTACTACGGTTGGTTTAGATGTTTAATATTTGTTTGTTTGTTTGTTTGTTGCCCGGAAAAATGTGATTAAAACATTTTTTATACAACTTTCCTTTTCAAGGAAGAATGTGGGTAATGAGATCACCATTCTGTCTGTGTAAGTCTATGTGTTCCATTTTAATTTTGAACTGATTTTCATCAAATGTATTATAAACATTGCCCTCGTCTTGTTTGATTTGATTACCCAATTAATATTTGGTAAAGAGCATAAGTTATGGAGCTCCGCATGATATCCGGTTGTTTCTTAGTTCATAGGACCAAAAATTCTTCTCAGAACTTTCTTCTCAGACAGCTTAAATCTGTGTTCTTCCCTCAGGGTGCACAAGAAACTCCACACCCATACAAAACCATTGTCTTTCGCTCTACAAGGAAGAATACATTTTAAAAACATCCATCTCTAGGAATGTTGAAAGTGTGTGTGTGTGTGGGGACCATTGAATACGTATAGCCATAACTAACGTCTATCATCAGGAAACCATATATTCCGCCCACATCTTTGTGAGCTGATCTGAATAATACAACATAAGTCCTTAGCGCTTACACACGTCAGGTGATATACTTACTCACACAAACATAAATTATATCATTTTTATATTATTGGGTATTGTTCTCTCAGTTAATACATTAGTGCCGTGCTGTGTTTTTGGACAATCCTTGGTTTGTCATTTTGGTCATTCCTATTTCTAGTGGTTCCCTGCATGTAGTTGGATGCGTGACTTAAATTTGTACACTGTACTCCTGCATAAATAACTTGTGTAGTTGATAAGTTTAATGATATTTGACAACCAATAAAAGTATCGCTTGCTCTCGTTTTGCGTTCTTTTATGTGATTCTCTGTCAGATATTTTCCTTTGTTCTACAACCACGTTTTTCATCAATTTATTACTGAATAACAGCCATTATACGAGTTATTATTAACTGTTATTGAAATACATATCCCAAGGCCTCTTTTATGCTAAATTATAGCTGAAAGTAACCATTAATTTGGTACGTATTAATCATATCACTTTTATTACTATTACACAGCGAAACTAATCTTTATTTGTTCTTGTTTCTGGCATGCGTTAACCCGTGGTTGTAATATTTTTTTCTCCATAGAATGTTGGATAATGGCTGTGGTGTGCTTTGACTAACAGCCGGAGGACAAAATGGTGACTAATTACGCCACTGATTAACGTTGCATTAGTATCGGGTCGTGACACGAGTTGCGACGTATCCGATTCTTGTGTTACGAATAGTCTGGCAAACCCATTTACACGTGTTCACTGAGGGCTTGGAAAATGCGCTTACCGTCGGTTGCTGTGTGTAGATTCTCTGCAAGTTCCATTTCAAGGCTGCGTCAGAGTTCAGAGATGTTTCCACCGCGCACTCACTCAGTTCTGATGCATGTTTCCTATTTCTGTCTAGTGTAGAGACCCGGTGTGTATCTTCGCCCGTCACTTTTCTTTTACACTCTTCCTACGTGTTATCGAATAATTACGTGTTTCGGACAAGCGCCCGTCTTTTGTCATGAACACGTAATATTTTGGAAAATATATGTTGGCTAAGAAGAATTATAGGGATTTGTGGTTCTTGAAAACATGATTACAGTAACTGCCTAGACAAAAACAACCTCAAGATTAGCGCATGCGCACGAAACGTACTGAGGCATACATTAAGTAAGTGTTCCCTACAATTCGTGTTGTGTATCTTTCAATATCCTTCGCTTATGATCCGGGCATCGTTTGTTTAGATAGGCTTTTAACACCGTTCCATGTAAATTTTTCACCTTGATAGAATTTCCTTGTCCTATTTTTTTTTTCCCCCTTTGCAGAGTATAGCTTTGCAGATTAAATTTAAAGAGATTTAAGCCATGAAAGTGCAGAAGAATGACACTGTCAAGAGGTTATCCTGTTAAGAGAATGGCTTTGGGCTTCCAACTTTTCACTCTCTAAATGGTTCGAAGGTAATACAGGGAGTTCTGAAAGTTTCTCTACAGTAAAAACTAAATATTTACCTACACTTAGAATTATTTACGAAGAGTGATTGGAAGTGTTGTCTAACTTGTAAACACTACTCGATACGCCGAACTGTAACGAATGAGTACTACCAACGGTGACAAGAAATAACCATGTTACCAATCTCTGCATGTTGTAGGCCCGCAACTAGATAACTCTTTTCTTCTGTTTTTGAACATTGTGTAAAAGGCGAAGAATTCACGGTGGCTTGGTTGCGTGAGTCTTTGTCATTACATATAACACAGCACAACATACCTGAGTCTCGCCATATCACACGCCCTTATGATCCCTTGCTATAACTGTCTTTATATCCTATTACACCCACAAAGCCATTCTTTATTTTCTCATGTAGATGCTATTGTCCTGTGATGCGCTTATATGTCGTTGATATGAAGACTGTGCTGCTGTGTGTTTACTGTCTTACGGGACACTCGGAAACTAAATTCAGGTGGAGGTAACCCAGTGGTGGTGTTTAGTGGATAGCTTGTTTGGTCGTCGTGTTATAGTTGAAAGCCATGTTAAGAATGTTGAACCATAAGCGTAGTTCAGTGCGACAAGCTTGTCATTCACATGATTTATGATTAATTTAACTGAATTCAAAATAGAAGATTAGTCTGTAACATTTGTATCGTGGTTCTTTAGCGAACAGTGACAGATAAAAATTACAAACAATAAAGATCAGTTTACATCTTTTCGCACAATATGCTTCTATGTTACTTTATATTGGTAATTGAATAAATAATCCGGGCAGTTGATTGAGGCTCTTATCTGGATTGGGGGTTCGTTATAATAGCTATACTGTTCAGAAATATTATATAGGACCTCAGTGTTGAATGTATTTTTAGGGTGATAAAAGTGTAAATTATTTATTTTAAGCGATAAAAATTAGATTTGAGCTCGATGTGAAATAAAGTTTAGAGGCCTGATTGATTTTATACACTTTGTTCAAACAACGCCTAAAAAAGTGACTGAATATTAAACACTTTTAAGTGGTTGGTAAACATATGTAATGAAAAATATTAATCATCTGTTTGGTTAATTTGATTTTTCGATGAAATGGCACAGACTCGAACCTGAATGATGTGTTGCATTTGTCGGTACTAGATGGTGTGCTGTATTAAAGGAACCAGCGCACAACGTGCTACGTCAATGGTACCCGGTGGTAATAAAATTAATCTTGTTCAAAAGTGGTTTTTCTAATTCGTCCTACCCTGCAGAAGGTGCTTTGACAATGAACGCACATTAAACATCGAGCCACGTATCACAACATAGGAACTTAATTTGGATTTTAAATCTCAGTGGTAACTATATGTACCGCTATATTATAATGCAGGAACTTTGAATTTTTCCGAGGCTATGTGTGTGTTTAGTATGCTTCTCAGACTAAAGAGTAATCATTTTCTTAAACAATGTTAACCATAAAACTTTGCCCACCTTGTAGTGCAGGGGTGGCCAACCCGCGGGCCGCATGTGGCCCGCCTTGAACATTTTTCCGGCCCGCGAGATTCATCACACTTTTACAAAATATATTTATTTTATAATGGCCAAAGTAGTGAAAACCAATGTATTAAAAAAATACATTATTTGTGCATCCATATATTCAAAAATTATCTGTCGAAATTATGAGAAAAAATTAACTTTGATTTTAAAATAATATTCTTGCGAATATATAGTGTATCTAAATCTAATATGGGGATATATAATTTTATATGTGGCCCGCGGAGTTATGATGCATTTCCAAAGTGGCCCGAAAGATCATTTGGGTTGGCCACCCCTGATATAGAGCGTGCAGTGATTACGTAAGGAACAGGAAGGATACTGTAGTGCCTATTATAAGGTTCTATCCTGTGAGACTGGATAGTAAAACAAATTCTAATATAGAGACTCGAATTGCATAATCAAAAATGGTTTTAAAAAATCTAGTGTCATTTATAGTGTTAATATTTGTTTGCTTATTTTATACTCTAGTGTTAGTGTTAAAGTGTTGAATTTTGTACTTTAGACGCGTTGTGTTTTCTTAGAGGTAGGAACTGAACATCTAAATCTTATTTGTGTAAACTTTGGATAGATATGCTGGTTTGTGGTCTTGATAAAATTGCTGGGACGTTCTGGCATGTTCCAGGTTGAAAGAGATGGTCATGAATCGTTGCTAAATTGCGTAGAGATAGGGAAATAAACAAAATATTGCATTCCGTTGTATGTGAAGCCTTTTAAAGTCTCTCCTTTTAAGTTTTTTTTTAAAATAACATTTTGTGATCGAAATGAAATAATTCTCTTTAATACTGGAGCAAACCGTTACGTATTTTGCCTGACTCCTATACTACATAATAATTGTTCTAAGTTTGTAGAAAGATGTTCTCCGTATAGACTTATTATAATCTGGGAGATAGGGTCTTACAGTGTCCTTGTATTTCTGCTGACCATTGTATTTCTGACATTTGTCTTCTTGAGAAAATTTCCAAGGGGATTTACTGCCTCAATAAAACGCCAGGAAGCCGCCATACATCGGGTATGGCTTTGTAGGTATGAAGGTCACTAGGTGACCGTCTGATGTCACTACGGTCTCTCATTTTCTGAAGTGAAAAATTGTGTAATTATGATGACTGAACTGGCATATGTTGCTGGTCATTACACCGTGGACCCTCGTAACGAGCTGGTTCCAACATATGTTACTGGTCATTACATCGTGGACCCTCGTAACGAGCTGGTTCCAGCCTGTTTCCGGGGGAGGTGATGTGAAGTGATGTACTAAGGTTTGGGGTCCGGAGAGAGAGAGAGAGAGAGAGAGAGAGAGAGAGAGAGAGAGAGAGAGAGAGAGAGAGCGACCAAACCTACAGTTGTAGCACCGCGGATTCTCCGTGCACAGACGTCGGAAAATTGCTGTCTCTCATTATATTCAGTAATCGGAAATGAAATAAATAAATGTTGATAATGTGTCCATCTTGTTCATGCACGCACGCACACATAATGGACGACCAGACGCTGTGTGTGTGTGTGTGTGTTCATTGCCTCATAATTTTGTAACAGCTGGTCCAATTTAAACAATATTTCCAGTTCGTCAGCTGTGATCTAAGTAAGGAAGAGGGAAGTTTGTAGTTTCATCATGGGTGAGAATTATTTGTACAGGATTTTTAATTTAATTTAACACGAACTGCCCCTCTCCCACCCTTACCCTTCTCCGTGCGACTTCGATTCTCGACGCTTGTCATTATTTGGGTTTTTAGTTATTTTCATCTGTACATCCAACGCTTCGTTTTTAGAACGAGAGAATCGTTTTTCACTTTTCAGCTCAAGGAATCCGCCTTGTTTTATGGGACACAGAATAATTACTGCAGTAGTTGGCCTTATCCTGAACTGATTGAACCCCCCTGACATCCTCACGCCTTCATTGAGATCTATTATAAAATTGTTCTCTGTGTTCAGGTTTCTGTAGTGGTATTTGAGCTTCGAGTTTTTTAGACTATATTTTTGTGTACATTTCTCATTTCCGTAGTGGTCTTTGAGCTTCGAGTTTCTTAGACTATATTTTTGTGTACATTTCTCATTTACCAGGAGCTGGATTAGTAATTTGTAAAATAGGCCACTCACTTTTCTCCACAGGCATCCAAATTTATCATTTAGTGTATTTTCTTATTCGTCTCAGTATTTCGGATTTTGGTAAGGAGTTAAACGAATACAAATTACGTTCCACTTGATCCCTTCCTGCTAGATGTAGTGTATGCGATTGGTGTCTTGACTGCAGTTTCATACGACAAGATCTCATGGTGACATACGTGTACATTAATAACACGTTCTACTATATGTTCACTTAATAC